GCCCTGAGCCGGCTACCTGGGATTTGAACCCCAGGTCGTGAGCACAGTTTTAGCTGCAGTACAGCGTTTTAACCACTGCGCCACGAGGCTCTTCGTGTCAAAGTCGTGTCAAAGCTCCAAGTAGGATAGTCTCAGTTTCAACATTTTTGCCTCCAGAAACTGTTGAGGCTTGATTTGATCTAGGACTCACTCATGCATCTTTCTGGAAGTCCAGGGTATCTATAAAATTTTCCTTCAGCACCATATTTCAAATCAATCATTTTTTCCTCTCTCAGCTTTCTTTCTTGTCCAGTTTTCACACCCATACGTGGTGATACAAGAGTGTGGATATTCTTGGTCTTGGTCTTCAGTGACTGATCCTTACACTTGGTGATCATCTCTAATTCTTTTATTGTTGCCCTTCTGAGGCTTAGTCTCCTGATTTCTTGGCTGTAGTCTCCATTTTGAATTCATAATTAAACTAAGGTATACAAAGTCTTGTCATTGTTTCAATTTCTTCATTATCAACATTAAAATTGTCTACTTCTTCTGTAATCATGATTTTCATCTTCTCAGTGTTTAAATCCAATCTTTCTTTGGCACGTTCATATTTTTGCTAAAAATAATTTCAAGTAATTGTTGCTTTCTACCAGTAAGATGGTGTCATAAGAATATCTTGGATTACTGATGTTTCTTCCACCTATTTTCACTCCTCCTTCATCTTAATCTAGTCTGGTTTTCTGCATGGTATGTCCTGTTTACAGATTGAACAGATAACAGAATAAAATGACATTTGTACTTTTCCTTTAATCTTCCTCGGTAGCCAATTCAGTGGTTTCCGACTTGGAAGTCTCATCTTTCAGTGCTATCACTTGTTTCATTTTCAACTCTCTCAGCATAGAATTTTCATGGTAAGGAAAGTTCAGCAAGGGGTTTTTTTTGCCACCTTCTGTGTGGTACTAATAAAAGTTAGCTTGAGTGTCACTGCTATTGCCACCTCTGTCAGTGTCACCTTCAGATACTGCTGCTGCCCAGCAGCTGCTTGCAGAGATTGGATGCATCTTAGTCTGGTGACTCAGCTGTGACCATTCTGCCTTGGGTGACCCTGCTAAGAGCCCAGGCTCATAATGGAATTTGGCGTCCTGATGGCACTACATTGAGGTGTACATCCAAGAAGGAGGAAATTGTTCCTCTCTGCACTTAAATACTCACATATTCATATGTTACAATTTACATCAATATAGATTTACAAGTCGGCTCACATTTTCACTTTGTGCTAAATTGGAGCTCCCAGGTCTCCCCAATAGGAAAATACACTAGCCTTAGATTTGGGGATGGCTGTCATAGTTCATTATATAGCAGACATGTTAGGTTTGCTCTATCCACAAATTACAATCCATAGAAAAAGAGAACTACAGAGCCCATTTCCACCATATGTTGTTAATATGCAAATCAGTTCTCCAGCTTAAACTGTGAATTTGACTACATTGGTTATCTTGCTTTGAGGAAACGATGAAGATTTTTAATAATAGTCCTTTTTAAATCCTTACTAATAGTTGTTTAATTGCTTTTAGCGTGCAAAAAGAGCTCTTTTTCATTTGAAACAGCAGTTAAAAAATTATGCTCACCTTGAGTAGTGATCAAATTGTTGTGCTTTGCAAAGACAAATGATTCATTTGTGCTGAAGGAATATAGCTGCCTTTCAGACATTCATTGATTTTAAATTAAAAAATAACTGCTATGTTCTACACAAAGGGTGATGACAATAACAAATTAGTCCTTACTTAGATTTATTTGTTGCAAGTTCATTGCATGTGCTGATGGAGAAGTGGGAGGATCCAAGTTCCATAATCTAACTGGTCAATAATCTAGATATCTCAATGCAGTGTAACAGATAATCAAGGTGAGCAGAATTACTCAAGCGCAGCTGGCTGTTCTTCCTAGAGCTAGGGTCTTCAGGTTCAATTGGCTGGCTTTATTAATTTTTATCTTTCATCCTGCTTGAATTCTTGTTTCCCGCCTTCAACATTTCTTTTCAGACTGCCTTTGTTCTAACAGTCCTGACAAATACTGCATTCTATTATCGTATGAGCTGTGCGCAGGAGTCTCTTGTGATCAGTGACCTGCAATAATACAGGGACCTATTGGGAACAGAGGAGAGTAAGGCTTTATGTTCTTTTGTGAAAGTTAGATTAGATTTTGTGTATTCTAGTGTATAGTCCACTTTTTGACCAATTGAAACAATGACTTCAGTGAATCAACAAGATCTGTTTTTAGTTAAGCATTATTTGCATTTTGATTTAGACATCCTCAAGTATGTAATACTGATTTAATATACACATTGTTGGAGGTAATGGACAGCTGATTTATTTCCAGAGGAAACATAAAGTACAATTTCACTAGTCTTCCGTGGACCCAATCCAAAGGATTGTTGTATATCTTTATATGAAGGGTACCTGAATCTCCTCCTTCAAGAAGCTTTTGTGCTGCTCAAAAAACAAAACAAAAAAAAACAAACAAACAAAAACTCTTGTTTTGATGTGATGAGCTGCTAGAGGGGAGGTTGATTATTATGCAGAAATCATCAAAAGTACACTCAAATGCATAACACAGGGGCTTTTTATTTCATTCTGAGAACCAAACTACATAACTAAGTAAAAAGTCTTTCATTTGTTACCCTAATTCAGTTAGAAAGGATGAGGGCATGCAGGATAAATTTCTGTAAGCCCATCCTAACAGTAGATAAATGAGGATGTGAGCCCATTCTCAGTTGTCTGCTCCACTCATTCTTCCCTTTCCCTAGCCCATTTCCACCATCAGAGCTAGAAACAAGGAAAAGTAGCTGGATAATTTTTTTGTTCAGAACTCACAAGATGAGGAGAGTTTGTTCATGCTCTTTAAATAGTTAAATGTGATGGCCCCAGTGTATCTGGCAAGACGCAGAACACAGAATAATGAATTATTTTTGAGAGCTTTATGTTAGCTCCTGAATATATACTTTTGACTTTGGACTCACCTTTCAGTTTTATAGTGTTTGCCTGCTATAGACCTGCAGTACATTATTGTTGATCCTGGCTTTTGAAGGCTTTCGTTATTGTTCATATATTTGTCCTGACACAGAAGAATTATAACACTCAATTCTCTGTGCCATTTAATTTTTGGTTCTGCAATTAATAGTGAATAACATTGCAATTTGAAGCTTTGTATCATTACCAGATCCTGCTACACAGAGAGTATAAGTGATAGTTTGGTTCTCATCTTGACCCTCTAGAAATTTTTCAAAGGCCAAAACAGGCACTACTTTTATTTGAGCAAGCCAAGGTGTCACAAACCTCATTTTAAGATTATTTCATTATCAAGGCAGATTTTATATATACTTCTATATTTTCCTTCTGTAGCTGACACATTACAGTATATACCCATGTACACTTCCAACAGTTTTGCATTTAACACATAGCAGGCCTGCTTAATGCCTAGGTTGACAAAGGCTTTGAGAAAATTTGAAAGCCTGTTTCTTCTTTTGGGTAATTTGGTTGGACGTAATAAAGCATTGCCCAAATATGGACTTTGAAAAAGATTCTGCAAGTAGTTTTTCACTCTTGTTTATATCTTTCAATATGAGATTCACCCCTTCGCTTATAAGTTCTGTCTTCTTGTCTTACTGGGCAAATTCCGTGATCAATTTTCCTTCTCTATATGGCCTGGTATGCTTCACCTTCATTCAGCCTACATGTGGCAACTGCTTTGCTTCCCAGTTTTCGTACTGTTTCTCCTGCCAAAGATTGAGAGCTAGAGTTGAAACCCCATCTTGGGTATCGCTGCTTCTTTCAGTATCTTCCTTTGAACGTAGTAAGCTTAAATTGCCTACCTACAGCAGTTTAAGTGTCAAACATATTGCTTCCTCTTTTCTTGACAATATCTTGATAAATTAATCCATTGATTTAGGAGAGGGAGTAGGCTTCTAATACCTTTCACTTACCTTGTCTCTGTGCAGTTATTTTTTGTCAGCTAACTGAGAGTATTGCAACTCTTTGGAAGAACCGAACAGTTAGCCATTGGAAATTAGTAGAGTTGTATTTTGTATCTCAGGTAGATATCTGAACTGCAGCAGTTATTTCCATGCTTACTTAGAGTCTATACTACACCATTCTCCAGTACCTGGTAGAACTCTGCTTTTTTCCCACAGTGTTTTCAAATGGATTTAATCCCAGTGGAATAATTAAGGCTCCATCTAAACAAGGTTTTTCTGTGATCACTGGGGTGCCAAGGGAAGCAGAGGGGTGAGAACAAGTCTAACATATGTCAATGACAAGCTGCAAATATTGTGGAGGTTGTAAAAAATTGCCCCCACCCAGTCCTCTTTTTTAAAAAAATTTATTTGGGTCAAGGACCAGCAAGCCCATCCAGTCCCTAACACTAGAGTTTTGATACTCAAAATGTATATTCAGGACAAACAAATATAAGTACTTCTTCATGATGTGGATAATGAATATGGAATTCTTTATTAGACAATGTCATGAGTTGTGAATAACAACTTTAGATTGAAGTAAAATATTGTGCTTGGTATATGTCATTTTAAAATTCAGAAGGCAATTAAAAATAATGTGTCTTCTACAAGTTTATATCCTTTGAGGAGCCAGTTATTAATGTAATATTATGTTTAGCAGTTGTAGATGCTACTCCAAAAACAAGCATTAGCAGCCAATAGATAATTCTTCAGGACTATTCTGTTCACTTTAGTTAATGAATGTTATGTATTCTTTTGTCAGTAGCATCAGTATTTCATTTTGACTCCAAAAAGATAGCTAGTTTTGAAAATGTAAAAGCATTTATTTTACAGTATTTATTCCAGTAGCTGTTTATGTTACTTGTACATAATTAGGTTTTTTATATCAGAAGGATTCCAATATACAACTCCATATTTGTTGACAAAGATTTTTCAAATATGCTGGTTTAATCCTTTCAGCAGTTATTTATTTACCTTTTCTTAACCCCTCTCTCTCTCTGGTAATTGCTTACAGACAGACAAGTGTCCACTTAGGATCTTTATGCATGGGTGATATCAAACGAAGGAGAAAAGCTGCACCACTACCAGGACCCACTGGTAAGTAGATTTACCATGGTGATATATCAAAATGTGTAAATCTGCAAAACAGAGAGAGAATGAACTACAGCAGCAACTTACTTGGGACTGAAAGCCAGGCTCAAGGTGGTTTGCTCTGCATTCCAGAACATGCTTTAATGGTTGACAAAGGAATTTTTAAGGCTGCAGACATCATCATCATCTTTCTTGACACAAAAACGTATAGCACTCCCCTTAAAAAAGGACAAGTACACTTCATTTTAGCAGTAGTTACTTCTATGTAAATACACATGAGATTGCCATCTTGTAGCAGATAGTTTTATGTGCAACATGATGCTGAGAACTGTGAGGACTGGGTGCAATTCATACCATGTCCTGACACAAACCAGCCCTCTGGTTTGTTCCTGTAGAAAATTAATGCTTCATTAGCAATAGTGGGGAATTTCCTTTCATTACAGAGGTGAGAAATTCACATCAGGACCACAGCAAGGGGCAAACGGTTAAAACCTCTATCCATCTTGCCACAACCTTGATCCAGCTTCCTGCATGGTTGCTGCTTAATCTTTAATATTGTTTCCTCAGTATTTAGTATCACCACTAGTTATATGACTTATATAAAATGCATTTTATGAAAGCAATTTCCATATATATCAAAAGCACCCCTTTATTGATGTTGTTTGTATGCATGTCACTGATGAAATGACTCATGTTGATTGTCTGGCTGAAATTTACTATCGCTTTGTTTCTATGAATCTTTGAAAAGTATTGTGTATGCATTTGTCAGTAAGGAAACACATTCATTGTGGACCTACCTGTAGTTCTTACAAACAGGTCTGGCTTTCAGAACTGATCCCTGGAGTTGGCCAACTTTGGCATTCAAGTCAAATGTCTGTCACATTCCATAGTGCTTCAGTTATCAATGACAGCAACAGACCAAGAATAGCCTAAAAAATATTGCTAAAGCACCTTAATGGCAGTAACGTGGAAAAAGAAAATCTAGGGGTCAAGTCCTAAGACTCCAGCCATATGTGTAGTGAGAAGAAACACTCTTAATGGCAGAGGAGAGGATAATATAATTATTGCTACAAGGTGATTTTAACTTCACCACTTGCGAGTGACAGAAGGAAGTCATTCCATTAAGTGTATGTAAGTATAGCAGAACATAAAATGAACTTGAGCGTATGTTTTTCACCCACTTGTCCAACTTGTTCAGTATTTTCTTCTGTTAGTAGAAGCTGGTTCACCTTTACAGCTACATTTGCTGCTGCTGCAGACGCTTAAAAACATACATAGTTTTGTATTGCATAACTTTGGAGTATTGCAATGAGATTCAAATGGGCTTTCAGGTTATTAATGCTAGAGCTCTAAAAGAACCCATTTACAAAGTAAGAGTAGATGGAAATGCTCTTCTTATTAGAGATTGCCACAGCACTTAAGAGCATGAACTGTGAGCCCTGGTACAAGATTCAGTTTGCTTCTGAATGCAGTGAATGATGGTGCCAGGCAAGCCATTATTTTTTAGCCTTGTTCTCTTCTTCCTCCATTATATGTGGCACACATATAATGTGAGCTACCTCTGCAGCAGCAGTCTCAGTCCTGGCTGTGTTGAAGGGGTATCCAGTTATATCCAAATGAAAGTCTAGAAGTTGGGTTGAACCCAGAAGTCCATAAGAGGTTTCATCCAAAGTGAAGAGAAGTCAATAGACTTACTCATCCTAGTATCTCATCATAAATTCTCAAACTGCACATTTATCCTGGATGAGTATAGATCTGCATTATTCTGGTTAAGAATTACAACCTGCCGGGAATCCATGGTCCAGATTTTAGTAAATGTAATTTTTAGAAAGTGAGATATGATCATCAGTCTGGAAACAACAGCTTGTTCTGGAAACTCAGTAACCTCTTAGTTTCTGAATTGTAATAATATCTGTCCCAATTTAGGAGAACTTTCTGCTGATTTTGTTCACTGTGTTCAGATCTGACACTGAAAATAATTAAACTCAAAACTTAACATGCACTGAAAATTGCACATTGTCAAATAAGATTTCTACTTAAAAAAAATTGAATTGAATAAATCATTTAAACAAAACATATAAGCTGTTTTTCCTTTTCTTTGGGGGAGGGCATAATTCTACTGCCATGTTACATCCTGCAAAAACTACATTTAAAAGATTAAAGAATTAAAGTACCATTGTAAGGTTTATATGCACATGCATTAAATTCTAGACGTAGTCAGATTCAATTTTCCTCTTTGACTTCTTATGCATGGGCAACTGGGTGCACATATAATTTAATTCTTCTCTTTTATTTACTTATTAATTTCATTATTTACTCAACCTTATTCCAAAGGCTACGATCCTGAAGAAAGGTCTATGTCATAGTAATAGACTTGTGAACCTTGCAAGCCCATGAAGAAAAGATTTCAGTTGCCACATTCATAAATGTCTGCTGATGACAAATGGTTTCCCCTATCTTTGTATGCAGCATGCTGAGTGGATTTATTTATGCACATTTGGAGTACAGATAGCACAATAGAGCTAACAAACTGTTGAAATTAGGTGTTTGTGTATTTGTGAATCTTCTGCTCAACACCTGTGCCACTATGTACTTGCAGATATGTTACAAGGCTGTAGACTACTGTGGCTAGAAGTGTTATTGGTTAAACATTTATTAATTGTGACAAGAACACCCAATTTATTTCAGCGCTCTGGCTTATTTACTGCTCTTTCACCTTTGTATTTTGTATTGAAAAAGTAAAATGAATATTGATAGAGTTAGCTATTGATTTCTAAATTTATAGCCTGTTCTCAGCCTTGAGACAAAGTCACATACCAATAGCACTGGGTGTATTAGTAACAAAGGATGTGTATATACTCTTAGAGCAATGAGAAACTGTTGAAGCAAGAAACTTTTAGCAATGGAGAGCATTTTATAGTTTGAAAAATGTCATCTGTAAAGGTGAACTAAAGCAGTGAAGAAATAAGGTGAATTCTATCAGAAAACTCCCAGTCAACAGCTAAAGTAATATGGTTCTAATCTGTATTTTTTTTTCTTGAAACAGGCAACATTTGACTTTATAGTCCACGATAAAGCTTTTTAAAGATTGCAGCAGCAAGCCAGTAAGAATACCAACTGAAACAAAAGACAGTTTTCTTCATATATTGCCTACAGTTTACTTACAACCTTCTAAATTTTTCAAGGAATAGTTGGAATGCATTGTTCCTCTTAGGGCGGGCAGTCATGAATTTGTTTCAGGAAATAAATACCTAAAGGAATTGATGTCTAGTGAGGCAATATAGTATCTGACATAGGATCATGTCATTCTGAATGCCTTTGTCGGCTTACTAACCACCCAGACGTTAATACTATTCAGTATGGATCCTTAAGAGGCTTTATTGCAAAAACAGAGTGTCCTTGAATCACTGAGTATATGTGCATTCTCACAAAACAAGTTTTATGTTTTTGTTGCTGAGAAAATTCTACTGATTCCTTGGAATGTGATGAGGAAAGGAGGACATCAAATCATCTAGTTCCAGTATTCAGTAGAGTCCATTTTTTCTCACTGGATTAACAATGGTACTATGAGATGATGCAAGGGACTCTGACTCAACTTAATTGGGTTTTTATAAATCTAAAACCATGTTGTAGATAGATGCTTAAGGGAATGTTGGAAAACAAAAGCAAACTGAGTTTCCCTAAAATATGTGTTTCTAAGACTCTCCCAAGGGACTACAGATTTGATCATGTTTCTTGCTGTAAGTCTTGGGATTTGTTAGTTAACAAATCTTCTGTCTTCTTCACCTATGGTTTCCTGTAGATCAGTTGTTTCCATCATCTGGATTGCTTTCCAGAATCCTAGGTTTGTCTTCATCTGTGTGCTTCACAGGAACAACTTCAACAGATGTATGGCATTTCTTTGTCACAGTTATCCTATTTACTCACTCTTCAACCTTTTCTTCTGCACATACCTGATTCTCCTTACACCTTCTTCTATACCAGCTATCTCTGATCTGGGGTCCTCCAGAAGTGTTGGGCTTCAGTGTGAATTGGATGGTAAAAATTGTAGCCCGTCATGCCTGGAGGGCATCAGATTGAGAAAGGCTTCTTATCCATTTAAACATGTCAATCATCCCCCAGGTTCAGCAAAGGTGGGACCCAAGTAAGACGGTCCATTCCAGGAGGTGTATGGATCTAAATGGTTTCCTGATGACTCTTGGAGACAGATGATCCTGTCAAAACCTGGTTGATCCCTGGAGTGAGGAAGTGGCTAGGGCAGTGGACACAATTATTCCTAAGCATCCCATTTCATGAGTGAAGCTGAGAGGGAAGAGAAATAATGTAGAATGTGAAAGCGTCTATACAGTATTTGGACATCAGAGCAGATGTGGATGTTTATATTCACTGGATCAGGTCAAACAGAAGTATTATAATGGATAAAACATTTCCTGAACAGGCTATCAGAGAAAGCTCTCCTGTCTTTAATGGGAGGCAAGCTTAGAAGACTCTTCTAGGGAAATCCTGTTGGACATTTTGGTTGTTGGCCTGTGAAATCAGTTCTGCCCCCATGTTATTCAACATACATATAAAACCACTTGGCAAGTTTGTCTGGAGTTTGGTGCTTCTATATTACCCATATGCTGAAGATATCCAACACTATTTTTTTCCAACTGTCTGTCTGTTGTCTCTGTTTATTTAATATATATTTTACCCTGCCTTTCTCCTTAAAAAGGACCCAAGGCAGGTTACATCTTAAAATACAGTATTTAATGCAGTGAAGAGTATATAAATACAAAAGAATCAAACAAATAACATAAAAACATTAGCAAGACCAAAACACATTCAAAGCAGAAAGGTACCAAGTCCTACTCAGGCAGTTTGCCTGAAGATAAAGGTATTTGCCTGCTTGTCAATTGGAGTTCCAATATAGAAGGCTCTCTCCCGTGTCTCCACCAAAACACACCTATAAAGGTGGCGGGATGGAGAGAATAGCTTTTCCTGGTGATTTTAACATTTGAACAGGC